TAACACTGAGATGACTCAGATGTTGGAAATTTTGACAAGAATGTTAAAGCAGTCATCATAAAAATGCTTCAGCAAACTATTACAAATCCACTTAAAAATAAAAATCTCAACAAAGTTATTCTAAAAGGTAACAGCTGACATTAGAATAGAAGTTAGTTAAAAACACAATAATTGAGCCGGGCATGGTGGCTCATGCCTGTAATCCCAGCACTTTGAGAAACAGAGGCAAGAGGATTGCCTGAGCCCATCGGTTCAAGACCAGCCTGGGCAACATGGTGAGACCTCGTCTCTATAATAAATCAAAACATTAGCTGGGCGTGGTGCAAGCACTGGTAGTTCCAGTTACTTGGAAGGCTGAAGCGGAAGATCACCCGAGTCCAGCAGGTTGAAGCTGCAGTGGCCATGAGCATGCCACTGCACTCCAGCCTGGGCAAAAGAATGAGACTCCAACTTTAAAAATATATAAATAAATAATAAAAAAACCAAGAATACAATAATTGAGATGTTTAGCTTTATTAAGGTATAATTGATATACAAAAATTTGCACATATTTAACATAAACTCACACCACACCTGGGTAATTTTTTTGATTTTTTTTTTATTTTTTAGAGACACATCTCACTATGTTGCCCAAGTTGGTCTTGAACTCCAGGCCTCAAACAGTCCTCAGGTCTTAACCTTCCTTAGGCATGAGCCACTGTGCCCAGCTATCAATAAAATTTACTTAATTCTGGGCAAGGTGTGGTGACTCAGAGTTCCAGAAGGAGAAGAAAAAGAATGCTGAAAAGGTATTACAAAGAAGTCATTGGCTGGGCGTAGTGACTCACACACCTGTAATCCCAGCACTTTGGGAGGCCAAGGCAAGAGGAAGAGCTCATGGGTTCAAGATCAGCCTGGGCAACATGGTGAGACCTCATCTCTACAATAAATCAAAAAATTAGCAGCCGGGCTCGGTGGCTCAGCCTGTAATTCCACGCCTTCGGGAGGCTGAGGTGAGTGGATTGCCTGAGCCCGCGGGTTCGAGACCCACCTGGGCAGCAAGACCACATCTCTACAATAAATAAAAAAATCAGCCGGGCGTGGTAGCGCATGCCTGTAGTTCCGGCTACTTGGAAGGCTGAGGCAGAAGGGTCGCCGGAGCCCAGCAGGCAAGGCTGCGATAGCCGGGAGCGGCCACTGCACTCCAGTCTGGGTGACTGAGTGAGACTCTAACTCAAAAAAATAAAAAATAAAAAAATTAGCAGGGCATGGTGGCACATGCCTGTAGTTCCAGCTATTTGAAAGGCTGAGGCAGAAGGATCACTGGAGCCCAGCAAGTCAAGGCCACAGTGACGGTGAGCATGCCATCGCACTCCAGCCTGGGCGACAGAGTGAAACTCCAACTCAAAAAACTTCTCTCTTAAAAAAAAAAAAAAGTCATGGTTGTAAGCTTCCCAAATTTAGGGAAAGACATAAACATATAAGCTCAGAAAACTAATCGCTGACTGGACGCGATGGCTCATACCTGTAATCCCAGCACTTTGGGAGGCCAAAACAAGAGGATTGCCTGAGCTCATAGGTTTGAGATCAACCTGGGCAACATGGCAAGACCTCATCTCTACAATTAAAAAAAAAAAGCCAGGCATGGTGGCGCACATCTGTTGTTCCAGGTACTGGGAGGTCAAGGTGGAAGGATCTCCTGAGCCTAGTAGGTCGAGGCTGTAGTGGCTGTGAGCATGCCACTGCACTCCAGCCTAGGTGACAGGGAGACTCTTACTCAAAAATAAAAAAAGAACAGAAAGCTGATCATTCCCCAAGTGGGATAAACCTAAAGAAACTCCAGCTGAAACATACCATTATTAAACTTCTGAAAAATAAAGACAATTTTTAAAAATCTCTAAAACCACCTGAGAGCATTGCCTATAGGGGAACACTATAGACAGCAGAATTTTCATCTGGAACTACAGAAGTGGCACACATTTTTCTTTCTTTTTTTTTTTTATTTTTTTGAATCAGAGTGTCACTCTGTCGCCCAGGCTGGAGTGCAGTGGCACGCTCATGGTCACCACAGCCTCGACCTGCTGGGCTCAGGAGATCCTTCCACCTCAGCCTTCCAAGTAGCCAGGGAGCTACAGGGGCACACTACCACATCCGGTTAATTTTTTTATTTTATTGTAGAGATGAGGCCTCACCAAGTTGCCCAGGCTGGTCTTGAACTTACGGGTTCAGGCAATGCTCTCGCCTCGACCTCCCAAAGGCATACATCTTTCAAGTGCTGAAAGAAGAGAATTGTCAGTCACATTTTATATTGGGATGAAGGGGAAATACAGACATTCTCAGATGAAGGAAAAATGCACACAAATCCAACCATGACATTCCTCTACAAGCCCTCTGACTTCTTATGGGTTCTCAGACTATAGGGTGTGGGTGAAGATTATTATTATTATTATTATTATGTTTTAGTTGGAGTCTTACTCTGTCATCCAGGCTGGAGTGCAGTGGCATGGCTACCACAGACTTGACCTGCTGGGCTCAAGCGATCCTTCTACCTCAGCCTTCCAAGTAACTGAAATTACAGGCACGCACCATGACACTTGGCTAATTTTTTTGTTTATTGTAGAAATGAGGTCTCGCCAAGTCGCCCAGGCTGGTCTTGAACCCGTGAGCTCAGGCAATCCTCTAGCATCGGCCTCCCAAAGTGCTTGTTTATAGGCATGAGCTACCCCACCCGGCAAGGAGCTTATATATATTTTTTTGAGTTGGAGTCTCACTCTGTCACCCAGACTGGACTGCAGCAGCCGCTCCTGGCCACCGCAGCCTCGCCTGCTGGGCTCCGGCGATCCTTCCACCTCAGTCTTCCAAGTAGCTAGAACTACAGGCACGCGCTACCATGCCTGGCTAATTTTTTTTTTTTTTTAATTGTAGAGATGAGGGCTTGCCAAGTTGCCCAGGTGGGTCTCGAACCCGCGGGCTCAGGCAATCCACTCACCTCAGCCTCCCAAGGCGCGGGATTACAGGCTGAGCCACCAAGCCCGGCTGGGAGCTTATATTTTTGAAAACTCGATTCCCAGGCCTCACACTCAGAGACTCCACTTTGTAGCTCTGAGAGGACTCAGCCTTTTTACAAGCTTCCCACTCCCTCTTCTGTCCAAAGTGATTTTCACTTAGCTGGTGGACAGGCCGTGGGCAAAGACATCCTAACCCACAGTCAGATACCTCACCAGGGCCCTCAGCCCACAGGCCTGTCCCCTCCGTCTCTCCAGCTACATCCATTCGCTTCCCTGGCCTTGCACTTCGGACTTGAACTACTCGCACCTTCTCCTCCCAGTGCCTCAAATGTGTCGGCCTCCCTTTTGCCTTGGGGTCTTTGCAAACACTTTTCCTCTTCCTCTTTTACTTCCCCAAGACTACTCACGTAAATCTCTACTGCTTCCTCTGGTTAATACCTAATCTAGTCACATTTCAGATGCAGCTTAAATATCCCTTCCTCCAGGAAGTCTTCCAGGATTCCCAGATGTAGGTGAGGCACCCTCTTCACATGAACATTGTACATCTCTCTATTTACTTGTATGCATTCTCTCTAGGACATGAGTTGGTGAGTGTCTGGCTGTCTTGTTCCTCTTATTTTCCAGCACATAGCCCAGTGCCCGGCATACAAGGGAGGTTCATAAAACATCCCTCGCAGAGTGAGGGATGGGTGGATGGATGGATGGATGAAGGAACGAAAGACAGCTCTTCAAGACAGGTATCATTATCTATCCTCATTTGCTGGCATGTTAATTCAGACTGTTCAGAGTCTAAAGTCACTTTTGCAAAGTCCTTGGCAAGTGGTAGAAACAGCATTCAAACCCAAGTTCTCTCTCTCTTTTTTTTTGGTCAGTGTCTCATTCTGATTCCCAGGCTGGAGTGCAGGGGTGCAATCATGGTTCACTGCAGCCTTGATCTCTTTGGGCTCAGGTGATCCTTCTACCTCAGCCTCCCAAGTAGCTGGGACTACAGGCATGTGCCACCACGCCAGATGAATTTTTTTTATTTTTTGTGGAGCTGAGGTCTCACTATGCTGCCTAGGTTGGTCTCAGGTCTTGAACTCCCGGCCTCAAGCGATCCTCCTATCTCAGCTTCCCAACATGCTGGGATTGACAGGCGTGAGCCGCCGTGCCCGGCTACAGGTTCTCTCAACCCACAGTTTTCCCCACACTACCCTGGAGACTCCCGGGGCATGAATCACTCCATGGAAATAAGTCTTCCTGTTTCTGACTCCCCATTCCCTCTGCCGCTTTTAGACACCAAGGGAAAAGTCCAGTGAACACAGGGCACCTCTCCAGATGTCGAGCTACAGTGCCAAAATTCAAGACTTCGGCATTGAACGAACCTGAATTCAAAGCCTGTCTCTCACCAGCTGTGTGAACTTGGGCAGCTGGCCTCACCACTCTAAGAGTCCATCTTTTTTTTTTTTTTGAGTCAGAGGCTCACTCTGTCATCCAGACTGGAGTGCAGTGGCACGCTCATGACCACCAGAGCCTCCACCTGCTGGGCTCGGGTGATCCTTCTGCCTCGGCCTTCCAGGTGGCTGGAGCCACACGCCCAGCTAATTTTTTGATGTATTGTAGAGATGAGGTCTCCCCAAGTTGCCCAGACTGGGCTCGAACCCATGAGCTCAGGCAATCCTCTCACCTCGGCCTCCCAAAGTGCTGGGATTATAGGCATGAACCACCGCACCTGGCTCTAAGTGTCCATCTTAACACTCCAAGTGGGATGAGGTACATACAGGAATGCTCGCAGGGCCTGGCCCACTGTAGACACTCCGTAAATGTCCATCCCCACCATCCCTTCCTCCCTGAGCCGAGGTAGGCTGGGGAGACTTGAGAGAAAGATGAAGTCTGGCTT